AATTTACAGTGAAAAACCGTAAATTGACATTCCCACAATTCCCTGCGTGACACTTCACATTTGATGTATTTTTGTTGAAATAATTATTTCTTCTTAGTTTTCTTAGTTCTTGTCTAATTAGTTATGTGCATTAGGGTTTTATGTTTGCTTCTCTGCTTGTTCGCTTGATATAGCCTAATAAGCTGACTGCCTGTTTCTTTTGTCTATCTACTATTTGTATTTTTTGTGAAGCGACCTTGGGTTCTTGAAAGGCGCTATAAAAATAAACATATTATTATTATTATTATGTAACATTTAATGTTGTTAAATTAGTTTATTGCATTTTTTTAATTTCATGTGTGTTACCATGATGGTGTTTAATGTTTGTGCGAATGACTCATTCTTATGAATGATATATTAATATTAACTTTCATGTGGAAGAGCTGCTTGTGATCAGTTTTTGATTTATCATGTGACTTATCACTGCTGTGATGATTGTTGGTTGTCAGTGTATTACCATGGTACAAAACAGATATTAATACTTCAATAGGTTGGTAAATTAACATTATCAGATAATGAAATACGGTTTATTACTGTAAATTTTAAGTTAAGTCTGTAAAACCAATAACATTGCTACTGTATTTTTGACGGTAAAGTTCTGGCAACCACAGCTGCCGTTTTTTTACCTTAAAAATTACGTTTTATTTTTTAGGCACTTGAATGACATTTTTAAGTTCATTGAGTATCCGACAGGATATTTGAGGCACCTTTTTTTTTTTTTTTTTTTTTTTTTTTTACAGTACACACAAAAATCTTTGCTGATTTTATGAATGGTTTCAATTAGTTCAAATGCATGATGATCACTGTTTGGCTTAGTTTATTTATATATATATATAGTATTGTTAGATGCCAATCATAAGAGCTGTGAGAAATAAGCAAATAATTCAGGAATATATGACATAAATGCACTTAGATCATAATCTTGTACAGCAGTTGTCATTCACGTTTTGACTATTAACAAGAGGATGACAAAACTAACCTTGGCTTTGGTACAACAAAAATATGATATTTGATAAACAGATCTCACTTGTTTTCTTTTATTAAATCAGGGTTCACTTGAAAATTCACATTTATCCTCCAGAACTCATTCTAACAACTTAATATGTTTTAATGTTTCAGACTCGATGGAAGTGAAAGAGCAAAGACAAGAACTGAAGTTAAAGGTGATGATGCTGTAGTTTGTTTCAGCCTGTTGACACCAATAAAACAATTTAATGTGCCAATTTACTGAAGATCTCAGACATCACCATAATGAATGAGCTAAAACCAGGAACTTTTGGAGACAAAGAGGTTTTTCAGCAGCTCAGTTAAACATGATGGCCCTGTACTTTTTAAATGCAGATTGGATAAAAACACAGTGATCACAGTTCACACCTGCAGTGAAGTCCCTCCCACAACAATTCACCAATAAATACTGGGAATATTCCCATCATCCTACAAGAGAAGGACAAACTCCAGGAGTAGCAGCTGAAATCTGTGTGACTGTTAAAGATGGAGTTTATTAAAGAGGAGATTGAAGACATGAGTGATCCAGAACCATCCAGAATAAAACATGAAGATACTGAGGAACAAATAGGTTGGTGTCCATTCTTTATTCTTCATTGTTGATGCTTTGGTAGATGTGAATTAATAAGCAGTATGTGGATGATAAATGATAGAGAAATACATCTAAATGATCATAAACTTGTATATAGCAGTTGTCAATGTTATGATGGTGAGGATGAAACCCAAGCGCAGTCAGTATGTAACACTCAACGTTAATTTATTGACAAAAACAGGGAAAACAAAACCCACGAGGGGGCAAAACAAGACTGGAACAGGAATGACTAAACTAGACTGAGACTTGACAATTAACTAGACGATAAACAAAACAGTAAACATAGAATCAGAAATTTCTCTCTGGACAATACTCTTGACAAATACTCACAAAGTGAATCTCACAAAGCCACATACGCAGCTAAGGGGGCTTTTACACTGGGCTCGTTTGCTGCAGTCCGAGCGCGTTTGTTCCCGGCGCCCCCCGCAGCGTTGGTCTGGTTTCACACTCAACTTGATTCTATCGAACCTTGGTGCGTTTGCGTGCATATTACGTCATCGCAAACGTGCACGGCGCATGATAGAAAACAGAACCCGGGTCGATATTGTGTTTTTTTGATTAATTCGCTGCTATTATGCGCAGTTGAGTGAACAATACAGGTTTACTGTGCGTGTGTCACATAAGGTGGCCTTCTGCTGCTTGCAAACGGACTCTTTTGAGGAGACAGCGGATTTCCAAATTTGGTGCCCTGATTTCAAGCGCAATGCACGAATACACTGCCGGCTCACTCTCGCTCGTATCCAAGGTAAATCATCAACACTATCATCCCTTACAAGTGTTTTATTTAACTGAATACATCACAATAAGCTAAAACGCATGCGCAGGTCACTTTACTTCCTGAACAAGTGCGCACCCGAGTCCGTGCTGCTTTCACATTCACGCGAACCGCGGCACAGTGCGGGAGCAACTGAACTCAGACCACCTCCTCCAGGGAGTCTCGGGTTCGGTACCCCAATGCGCACCCGGGTCCCATGACAGCGTTCACATTAGCGATTTTTCATGCGAACCGTGCCCTGTTCCGAACTAAACTGCCAGTGTGAAAGCCCCCTGAGAATCACAATGAACCAGCACAGGACAGCAAACACAAGGGGATTATAAAGGGAACACTAATGACAAGGACAGGTGAAGCGGACTAGACAATAATGACAAGACGGGGATAACAAGGGGGCGGGGTAATGTAACGAGACAACACAAGCACATGGCCCAAACAGGCCATGCGCTTGTACACAAAACATGGGTCTGTCATGATTCTGCCACAAGACCAGAGAAATCAAAAGACATGGCAGAATCATGACAGAACCCCCACCTTAAGGAGCGGCTACCAGACGCTCCTCAAAAAAAAACTAAACACAAGACAAGACAGACCGTGACATAGATAAAAACCAACAAAACATGCAAAACACTAATAAGGGCATACAAGAAAAAACAATAACAGGGTTGGGATGGAACATCAAAAACAACATACAAGGCAGAGGAGGTGGAGAAAACACAGAGTTCATGGGGGGAGGTCCAGGGTGGATGGGAAGACTGGGGGTCTTGGGTCCATGGGATGAGGGCTGAGGACGAGGATTCTGGGCAGGTTTAGACGGAGACACAAGAGGACGAGACTTGGGTGAAACAGTCCAGGGTTTCGTGGTGAAAGGGGGAACAGTCCGGGGACTAGTGGCGACAGGGACGAACGGGGAAACAGTCCGGGGCTGAGACACGACAGGGGAAACAAACGGAAGTCCGGGGATAGTGGGGACTGATGCACCTTCAGGGACAGGCTTGGGTGAAACGTTCACAGGGACAGGATCGGATGCAGTGCTCACAGGGACAGGATCGGGTGCAGCGCTCACAGGGACAGGATCGGGTGCTGCGCTCTCAGTGGCAGATACGGGGGCTGGGGACAGACAGGGACTTCAAGGATTCTGGCTAGACAAGACAAATAATCAGACAGGGTCTTGGCAGCAAGGAAGATGGGCATCTCCTGACGAGCAGAAACCGATTGCAGAACCTCTTTTGCGGCAAGATCGGCCGCAACTCTCTCCGCAGATTCTGGGACGGCGCTTGCTGGAGCGGGCTCTGGGACGGCGCTTGCTGAAGCGAGCTCTGGGACAGCCATTGCGGACTCAGGGGGAGACAGAGATGGAGGACAAGAGGCTCCCTTCTTCTTCCTGGGTCGCGGAGCAGAGGCCGTAGCCGGGCTTGTGACCGGTTGGGGAAGCACAGCAGGAACTGTGGTCTCAGTGGAAGAGGACTCCGAAGTCGACTCCCACGACAGCCGTCTCTCTCGTTTGCCACGGAGATCAGCGGGTGCAGATGATGCCTCGGCAGTCGAGCTGGGACGAGTCTGGTTCCCCATAGTAGCCACGCCGAGGACGCGACCCTCCGGGATCACGGCCAGCATGCCAGGTGATGACGATATGGAGGGAGCCCGCGATTCCTTCCGTGACAAATCGGCCACCATATCCTGGAAGGGGCGACGAACCAGCCTTTCCCGTTCGTCCAGAGGAGGAAGTTCATTGAGGCCCGCGATGAGGTAACGGTTAAAGAGGATGTCAGGCAAGAAGAACCTCCTCTCTTCTGCAACCCGCACGTACTCCCTCAGGGTCCTCTCACCCTGGGGAGGAATTGGAAGCTTGCCATTCCAACTGTCGGCGATAACCGACTGCCACCATAGTTCCGGGCCAGTCGGTTGTAGTATTGCGGGAACAGGCAAACTGTCTGCTGGGTTCTGTATGGGCTGGTTCATTCTGTTATGATGGTGAGGATGAAACCCAAGCGCAGTCAGTATGTAACACTCAACGTTAATTTAATGACAAAAACAGGGAAAACAAAACCCACGAGGGGGCAAAACAAGACTGGAACAGGAATGACTAAACTAGACTGAGACTTGACAAATAACTAGACGATAAACAAAACAGCAAACATAGAATCAGAAATTTCTCTCTGGACAATACTCTTGACAAATACTCACAGTGAATCTCACAAAGTCACATACGCAGCTAAGAATCACAATGAACCAGCACAGGACAGCAAACACAAGGGGATTATAAAGGGAACACTAATGACAAGGACAGGTGAAGCGGACTAGACAATAATGACAAGACGGGGATAACAAGGGGACGGGGTAACGTAACGAGACAACACAAGCACATGGCCCAAACAGGCCATGCGCTTGTACACAAAACATGGGTCTGTCATGATTCTGCCACAAGACCAGAGAAATCAAAAGACATGGCAGAATCATGACAGTCAAACCTATTTTTACTATATTAACAATGAATGACCGAATAACAAGTGAAAGATCTAAACTCTGTTGTTTTCTGCTATTAAATAAGGGTTCACTTGAACTGATTTTAACTGTATTTCTGTGTATTTTAGACCAGGTGAGAGTGAAAGAGCAAAGACAAGAACTGAATGAAGTGGAGGAGGAACATCGTAACTTTACAATTCAAAGAACAAAAGCCAAAAAGACGCACACCTGCACTCAGTGTGGAAAGAGTTTCTCACTGAAAGGAAACCTTAACTCACACATGAGAATTCACACTGGAGAGAAACCGTATACATGCACTCAGTGTGGAAAGAGTTTCACACAGAAAGGAAGCCTTAACACACACATGAGAATTCACACTGGAGAGAAACCGTATACATGCACTCAGTGTGGAAAGAGTTTTTCTCAAGCATTAAGTCTCAGTGTTCATCTGCTCATTCACTCTGGAGAAAAAACATTTAACTGTGATCAGTGTGGTAAAGATTTTATTTCATCATCAAATCTAAAAGATCACCTAAAAGTTCATTCAGATGAGAAGCCTTATGCGTGTTCTCTCTGTGGAAAGAGTTTTTCAAGGCTGGACGGTTTTAAACAGCACCAGAAAACACACAATGAAGTGAGAGATTATATGTGCTTTGACTGTGGGAAGAGCTTTACTAGAGCTGCTGATCTGAAACAGCACCAAAGAATTCATACTGGAGAAAAACCTTACAAGTGCTCATATTGTGAGAAGAGTTTCACTCAGGCTGGATCCCTGAAATTACACGAGCGAGTTCATACTGGAGAGAAGCCGTACCAATGTACTCAGTGTGGGAAGAGTTTCACCCAATCAAGTAGTCTATTGACTCATATTAGAAAGCATTGTTTTGTGTCACAGTGAGCAAATGTTTTGTTAGATTCACATAAAGTAAATGTGTAGTTAGTTAACTAATAAACTAGTGTTGCTGTGAATGCCACGAGATTTGTGTTTTATAAGTTGGAGAACAAGAATATTATTGATGTAGCACCCTGCTAAATTTATATATTGTTTCTTTTGTGTTCTGCTAACAGAAATATAGTAGCTGCTACAGTGAAAATACGTATTTGAACACCCTGCTATTTTGCAAGTTCTCCCACTTAGAAATTATGGAGGGGTCTGAAATTGTCATCGTAGGTGCATGTCCACTGTGAGAAACATAATCTAAAAACAAAATTTCCAGAAATCACAATATATGATTTTTTAACTATTTATTTGTATGATACAGCTGCGGGATGGCTGACGCGAAACAGTCGTTCCGAAGCTTAGCGAGATCCCGAAGCGCAGATGTTTCGAAACATTGATCCGAAGCGTGATTCAAAACACCCATGTCACGTGACTATGGCCAAACGAAGCCTCGAAATGTTTCACTAAGTGTTTCATCAGGTGTGATCCGCCGAATCAGCGTTTGATTGACACGGGCGGGAACAACAGACCACACAATCGCACATCTGTATAAAAGTGAAATCAACGCATATTGACCTCGTGGGTTTTTGTGAGAGGAGTTTGATTTTGAGATAGCGGATTTTGGTGATATAGTGACATAGTGCGATTTAATTAGTTATAGGCTATTAAGGCTTACATTTAAATTTACACAACACATTGACTGATAGGCTAGAGACAGACAGAGTATACATATAGTGACACATTAATAGATGCATAGATATAAATATATAAACAGCTAGATTAATAGATAGATTTGGCCAGAACTCATGATCCACTAACTTACTGGAAAGAGAGAGCTGTAATCTTTCCTCATTTGTATGTCCTAGCTAAAAAATATCTTTGCATGCCAGCAGCAACAAATGTCCCTTGTGAGGGGATTTTTTCAAAGGCTGGAGAAATTATCTGTAAAAAAAGAAGTAGGCCAAGTCTTTCCACAGCAGAGAAATTCATATTTTTGAATAAAAATCTCTAAAAAACTGAGACATTGTGGCTTGATTTCTTTTATTAATATTCATTTTGCAGGACCAAAATAACATTATGCACAGTGAGGAGCCTAGTTACAAGCTTCACATATTAGAAAAATACAATAATAAAAAAACAACAAATTTGTTAATGGCTCGTCAAGGTTGTTTCAGATCAACACCTGCAAGTGACCACTAGGTGTCACAGTGGAGACGGGTGTCGGATTGATTCGAAGCCTCGAAACAATATGGCCCATTTGGTTCAACTGTTTCATTGCTTCACGAAGCCTCGATCTGCCCATCACTAGCTGCAAATAAGTATTTGAACACCTGTCAATCAGCTTGAATTCTGACCCTCAAAGACCTGTTAGTCTGCCTTTAAAATGTCCACCTCCACTCCATTTATTATCCTAAATTAGATGCACCTATTTGAGGTCGTTAGCTGCATAAAGACACCTGTCCACCCCATACAATCAGTAAGAATCCAACTACTAACATGGCCAAGACCAAAGAGCTGTCCAAAGACACTAGAGACAAAATTGTACACCTCCACAAGGCTGGAAAGGGCTACAGGGAAATTGCTTGGTGAAAAAAGGTCCACTGTTGGAGCAATCATTAGAGAATGGAAGAAGCTAAACATGACTGTCAATCTCCCTCAGACTGGGGCTCCATGCAAGATCTCACCTCGTGGGGTCTCAATGATCCTAAGAAAGGTGAGAAATCAGCCCAGAACTACACGGGAGGAGCTGGTCAATGACCTGAAAAGAGCTGGGACCACCGTTTCCAAGGTTACTGTTGGTAATACACTAAGACGTCATGGTTTGAAATCATGCATGGCACGGAAGGTTCCCCTGCTTAAACCAGCACATGTCAAGTCCCGTCTTAAGTTTGCCAATGACCATTTGGATGATCCAGAGGAGTCATGGGAAAAAGTCATGTGGTCAGATGAGACCAAAATAGAACTTTTTGGTCATAATTCCACTCGCCGTGTTTGGAGGAAGAAGAATGATGAGTACCATCCCAAGAACACCATCCTTACTGTGAAGCATGGGGGTGGTAGCATCATGCTTTGGGGGTGTTTTTCTGCACATGGGACAGGGCGACTGCACTGTATTAAGGAGAGGATGACCGGGGCCATGTATTGCGAGATTTTGGGGAACAACCTCCTTCCCTCAGTTAGAGCATTGAAGATGGGTCGAGGCTGGGTCTTCCAACATGACAATGACCCGAAGCACACAGCCAGGATAACCAAGGAGTGGCTCTGTAAGAAGCATATCAAGGTTCTGGCGTGGCCTAGCCAGTCTCCAGACCTAAACCCAATAGAAAATCTTTGGAGGGAGCTCAAACTCCGTGTTTCTCAGCGACAGCCCAGAAACCTGACTGATCTAGAGAAGATCTGTGTGGAGGAGTGGGCCAAAATCCCTCCTGCAGTGTGTGCAAACCTGGTGAAAAACTACAGGAAACGTTTGACCTTGCAAAATAGCAGGGTGTTCAAATACTTATTTTCCTCACTGTATATCCTGAAATATGGGCCAGTTCAATTGTCCCTGGTAACACCTTTTCTTTTTTGTTTTTGTATTAATGTGTTAATAAATTGTGAGGTGTTGAAATATCCTCTGTTGTGAGTAGCCCTTGAACCTCCCTGGTCATTTTCTTTTGTATTGGGTGGCCAGGTGTCAGTTTTGTTTATTAACCAATCAGAGAGCAGTTTGGGAACCTCCTGGGTTTTTGAGGGGGCGGGACTAAAAGAGAAAACGCAAAAGAGAGAGACGAAAAAGAAGACATACAGATAGTGAAGAGCTAGTTGTAAGTTCTGTATTATTGATTACGTTAATGGTCCTCAAAGTTAAGAGCCAGGGGGCTTTTATTTATTTATTTTATTGTTAAGTGTGTAACCCTGTTAAAACAGGAGAATGAGCTGTACGTGTTTTGGAGCTGGTTAAATCGCCCACGGAGATTCAAATAAAATATGCTGGGAATATTCCTGACATACAAGAGAAGAACGAGCAGGAGAAACTCCAGATGTAACAACAATTGTAATCTATGTGACATACTATGGTAAATAAATGTTACTAACACATACTATGGAGTTTGTTAAAGTGGAGAAATGAAACAAAATCCTGAAGAACAAACATTCTTGATTCTTCATTATTACTGACTACTGAGGAACATTTTTCATCGTATATATATTATATCATATCAAAGATTACATAAACTGTTGTTACTTTTTGCTTTTGTATTTGATTTAATTTAGATGATTTAATATGTTCCTTTTTAGACTTGATGGAAGTAAAGGTGGAAAGGGAAGAAGAACTAAATGAAGAACGAAACCACTTCACTTTCACTTGCTCTCGGTGTGAAAAGAGTTTTGTGCAAAAAGGGAACCGAATCACATAATTCACAGTGGAAAGAAACCATATCATAACTATAAAGATAAAAAATTGCACATTGTCCCTCAAAAAATCCAATAATAAAAATGAATAGCTCAATAAAATAAACACCAAAACAGACCAGAATATTGCCTCAGCATGTCCAGTATTTTATAAAGTCTAGATGTATAAAGAAAGACCTGCTGCTCACATTAATTAAAAAGTTGCTTTGTTTGTTGTGCAATGGAAAATACGTTTTCAAATAAATGCATTAAATGGAAGCATGTAGGCCTATGTTAATAATTGTACATGGTCCATTTTCTAATAAATAAATTAAACAAACAAACAAAAATTAATAAAAGCATTATGTATTCTCTGAGAGTCAAATTCTACTTTTGTCCCTTTACTTTCTGTGGAATGCCAAAAAAGAGAATGGTTTGATTTTTCTGATTTAGAGGAAACTATATAAATAGTTTAATCACAAGGTTCAAACTGTATTTGTTTTCTTACTGTGTAAACACTGACAGTAAGAAAACAAATACAGTTTGAACCGTGTGATTAAACTATTTATATAGTTTCCTTTAACGCATCACTGGAGATTTATCTTGTGGATTTTTTGTTTGTTATTTGGCCTTACTATATTTAAACTATAATACTTTGTTTGTAGACTGAACTAAAAAAAGGGTATTTTGGTCTTTAAGGTTTCGGTTTTCGGAGTCATTCAGCGCCTCCTGGAGGAAGAATCGGAGTGTTTGCTGCTCAATGCGACACTCGCATGCGCCGTACGGTAGATGTTTACTACAGTTCTGAACACGTTTGCGGCAGCAACATGGCAGTGGACAGCGTGAGGATCTTTTGTAAACAAATGCGAAAAATCATATATGTCCGTTTAATATTTAGTGTTTAGGTATAATTATAATAATGAGTAATTATTACAAGCACATGACTACATTTTTATTGCTCTATACTGCCGAGAATATCGTGTAATTTGTCTGAGCAAAGTTTATTTTCAATACATGAAGGATTTACCTTATTAATCACTTTGGTCATCAATTTATGTTCTGCTTTTCTAATTAAGTAGCCTAGATTATAAAATAACATATATTTAAATATATTTAACCCTAATTTTAACATGTTTCCTGTTATTCCATGCTATTTTTCGTCAGGAATAATACACTGTTATTTTTAAATATTTATTCGACTGTAGATTAAATAAAGAACTGCTTTATTTTAGTTTTATTCATTTTCATTATATTGTTCTTAGAGAATAAGAGCATTTTATTCATTAGTCAGTTAAATTTGTTGTAGACAAACATGAAGATCGGTTGTTATTTATACATTAATTTATATATTATGCTGACATTTTTGTTGTTGTTGTTTTTTACATTACTTGGTTACAGTTTCTTCAAATTGTGGTTGATATCTGAGGAATCTCAGAATGAGTTATAATGAAGAAAGATCATAATTTTTGTGGGATTTTTTTTTAAATCAGTAATTTATGTTTCTTCTCTTGTTTCAGAGTGATCACAGCCCTTTCAAAATAATTCAGCAATAAATGCTGGGAATATTCTCATCATCAAGGCTAGAAGTGCATCTGAACACG